TTACGGTGCCTACTGCTCGCTTGACTCGATTATTTGTCTCTATATCTATCCCCGGGTTATATACTAAAAAAAGAGGGCGTCTAGCAAACGCTGGGACGTTCGTGAGGTTGCCCGCTAAGTCACGAGCCTTCTAGAAACTCCAGGGCGCATGCTCCCAGCGTCGCCTGACTTCCGCTGTCGTAACAAGTATAACATTTCATTCTACGGGAGAATGGGGCTATTTACACGTTTTGGAAACACATATAAATTAAATACTAATTTCCTATGAACATCGGAATGATTATATATCTAATATTACGTAACATATGAGCATCTGTTCCACATAGAACATTAAACCATGCTGATCAAGCACTTAATAAAACTTGATTGGTGGCTATTAGAAGCTATCAAGTCACTCTTTTCAAAGAAGAATAAGTTTATTTACAGCAAGATTATTAAACGACGTAGAGCTAAAGAACTCGACATTTTGAAAATTAAATTTCCCATATTCATAGAGGAGCGTTTAGGAAGAAGCTCACCGAAATCACATCCTTAGCCAATCAGGAATAACACTTTCATCCGTGGATATTAATTCTGATTGGCTGTGAAAGTAGTTACGATAATAAACCTTCTGGTCCGCAAATTGCTATGACGCTAGGCCTATCTCCTGATACAATTAACAAGATAATATAAAATGATTTAAAGTTGACCAAAGTTCAGAAACTTCCAGTCACAGCTCGAAATCAATGGCTGTTTTTATGAGAAAAATGGCAGAAGAAAATAGAATCATAGCAATCAAGTTCGACCACATGTCTTTTAGGCCCTTCAATGCAGCTCCGTCTGCTTAATGGTTTACTTGCAAATCGTAAACCTATGGCATTAGTCGATTTATGGAAAGCTAAAAAAAGGAGTGATATAATGTTGACAAGTGTGTTTTTCAAAGAAACCTCATCTCATGGAAATATCTCTGAAGAGCCTTTGGTAAGATGTAGGATAAGCAGATAAAGCATGGTTGTCGGACAAAATACCGTCTTGAGTATTAGTTCGTATAATTTAATTACTGACTCTTAAAGCAAAAAAAAAACTTTCCAAGTAATACCACTCCCTATCTGCTATTCCTCACATTATGTTTTTTTTTTTACTACACGCAATGTTTATTGTTCAAGTATGTTATTTAGTAGAATATGTGCTTGTGGTTCAGTTTAGAGGCAACCGTTATATCAGATATAGTTATGTAATTTACAGTAATCAGTTTAGTTCTTACCAGTGAAAAGTAAACTATTATTTATTTAAATATGTTTTGAACTGAATTAATCGGATCATGAAGTAGTCAGTCCTTCAGTTAATTCTTTACATGTTACATTGTTTAATTGAATTAAACTGGCATACACATCATGTTCTGGAAACATTTGTTTAACATCTGCCAGTAGAAAATAAGTTATCAATAAAACATCTAGTGATTTATTTGTATGTAGATATGCATATATAGCGATTATAAATACAAAATATAACGACAATTAGCATAGGTGATCAATGAAATTCAAAGGTCTTAGAAATGCTTATTACTGTAGACTTACCAACTTTATAGCACCCTGGTCTCTGCCACGCGAACCCTGTTACATTTAAGCTTCCACAGAGAATTATCAAGGCTACTCCCCACAGTGCAGATTTAGCCACGAGACAGCACGTTGCCATAGCTACTCAACTGTTACTATAGTTCCACCTCAGGTAAACCTATAACGAAGTTAAAACAATTTATTGGAACAGAACAAATACTGTGTATGGTCTAGCATTGGCACAGATTTAAAAAGATGACAGTTTTCTAAACACTAGAAGAAAATCAATTGTGTTTAGTAAATGTTATTATGATATTACTGTACTTGAGAGAGGCAAACATGTTTTGAGGATAACTGCATAGCATTACAATACCAATAAATTTATCCAATGAAACCATAAATTATTTGATACGTGCTATTCCTCACATTATGTTTTTTTTACTACAAGCAATGCTTATTGTTCAAGTATGTTATTTAGTAGAATATGTGCTTGTGGTTCTGTCGTTTTCCATGACTCCAGGGTACTAATTCACTTGTTATTTTCCCACATTTTTCATACGTTAGCTTCCTTTCACCGAAAGATGACGCCACTTATCTAGTGCAGCCTGAGTGGTTGACAGTAAGATAAATGCAATTTACAGTAATCAGATGGAGATTTACGGGTGGTAGTTTTTAGTTTTTCTTTATGATAAAGTTGAAAATTAATAATAATGTTTCACAAAACTCTAATCAATTAAATCAAAACATCCAAAATTATCGTAGATATAGATGTTAGTCAAACATAAAATAAAATATTTATCATTTCAAACACTATTTTAAATAACTGAATAGAATTTCCAGCTGTAAAAGTAAAAACAAAATATGCTTATGGACATTTTTGAATGGTTATTTTTTAGGTTACTTACCCTAAATAATGTGTTTCAGAGATATCAAAAAGAGCTTTATAAATTTTTTCTAAGAATTCCAAACTGAACAATTAGTATAAAAATATAAGATTTTCACCTAATCACCAGATGCAAATATAATGCGTGTGCAGGGCAGAATGAAAACTTTTCACCACCTTGCTTACAAACTCTGTAAGTAGATCAGTTAAGTGTTAATTGTCATTCCAAAAATATTTAAATTTAATCGTAACTTTGTGCGTATACTTCCAAGAGTATCACTATTAGTGATGTAAAATAAATTTACAGAAGGTTAACCTAGATAGCCCTCGAGTAGCTTTGCGCGAAATTAAACAAACAAAACCCAAAAATTCGGCTGTGTGGCTACTAAACATTAGTTATCAAGACGTGTTCGCTGATTGTACACCTGAAATAAGTTCATTCTGTTTGGTTTACTATTACGAAGCATGAAAATATCCAATACCGTTAGAATACATCAGATATAGTTATATCACGTTTAGAGACAACCGTTATATCAGATATAGTTATATCACGTTTAGAAGCAACCGTTATATCAGATATAGTTATATCACGTTTAGAAGCAACCGTTATATCAGATATAGTTATATCACGTTTAGAAGCAACCGTTATATCAGATATAGTTATATCACATTTAGAAGCAACCGTTATATCAGATATAGTTATATCACGTTTAGAGGCAACCGTTATATCAGATATAGTTATATCACGTTTAGAGGCAACCGTTATATCAGATGTAGTTATATCACGTTTAGAAGCAACCGTTATATCAGATGTAGTTATATCACGTTTAGAAGCAACCGTTATATCAGATGTAGTTATATCACGTTTAGAAGCAACCGTTATATCAGATATAGTTATAGAAGCAGATCTAGAGTAACATAATGATTTGCGGATCTCAAGTACGTCTAAAATAAGACAGATATAAGTAACGTTGTTGGAAATTATGTTGGAATATGGGTAGTGGTACATATAAGCAATATGCGGTTTCATGTATTTAATACTTTTGAACATACATCTTAGTAATATAAGGTTTCACGTAATTAACACTTTTCAATGTACATCTAAGTAATATAAGGTTTCACGTAATTAACACTTTTCAATGTACATCTAAGTAATATAAGGTTTCACGTAATTAACACTTTTCAATGTACATCTAAGTAATATAAGGTTTCACGTAATTAACACTTTTCAATATACATCTTAGTGACATACGGTTTCACGCATTTAACACCTTTCAATGTACATCTGACGTAGCAGAGCTACAAACACATTTTCTTGTTGTTGAACAAATCAACACATTGACTATTTAACACATTAGTAAAGATAAAACAAGAATTTACAAGATCAGTTTATTATTTAAAAACCAGATCAATATGAAAAAGTAATTAATATTTACATTTACATTATAGTGGTATCAAGAAACAATATGACATTTTACCTTTCACAATAAGCTGAAAAGTTTGGTGATGGAGGTTGAGATGTAGTTTCTTAAACATGTGCTATTTTATTAGCTATCTACTATGAACGAAGACGATATTGTCATAATCAACTTTACAAATCCAAAATAATGATAAATTAGATCTAATATTAATCTTTCCTGTCATGAAAATAGTGTATTTTGCGTATAAACATACATTAAAACTTTTTCAAAAGTTCGTATGTGTTGAGGTAGCGACTATACTCACGCGAAATTTAAAATGTAGTTCGTTATGACGTGTGTGTGAAAACTGTGAAAATAGTTTTGGCAACACAGAAATCCTCTTCTCTAAAGGTTTTTGAAATTTTGGTTCCACACAAAAATGTATGAATATACTATACAAAAATAACGTTTTCTTTCTTGTTACTGAGGCGACGATAGTGGAAATAACCAAAAGTGGAATAAGACCTGAATATAAAATGTTTAACATAAAATTGAACTTTTTACTAAAATAAGAGATTAATTTAAAAGTATTTCGTTTATAACTGCTAGTGAAACATAAATAAAGCTAAATAAACATGGGGTTAGTTAACTTACGGAAATACTGCGTGATTACGTAGACAGTTCAGCTCCTATGTTCTTTACGTTACACCTCCGATTACAGAAGGAAGGCAGCAGGAAATATTTCAGTTATATAAACCAAGGTAGTTCGTGAGAGTGGTGTGTTTTATTGAGCACAACATCACAAATCAATATGGTCTTTTCCGCAGGACACCTAAGCATACGGCGAGGCCGAGGGCGGAACTGACAAGGACACTCCCACCATGTAAAACTAGCAGCTAAGTTTGTACTTCTAGAAAATATTGCCCAATTCGTGATGACCCACTTAAACTGTTGTATCTGTTACTCTTTTGAAGTACTGCTTAGGTGTTTAACGCACGAACCTATCTTTTATGTATTATAACTATTGGCTAAGGCAGTAACGCAACTATTCTAACACTTGAAACTAACAAATGGTTACATTTGTAACAACAGAAACAAATTTTCTAACACTAAAGTTTAAATATTAAGTTCAAAATAACAAAATTCAACTAACGGTTACATATGCGATACTGATATCTAGCTAATGATTAAGTTTCTAGCAATGTAAGTAAAATACTGTTAGATATATAACATCATAGCTTAAGTGTTGATTTAAACGCTAGAACTTAATTGTTGGTTGAAACTATGAATTGAACTTGAAATCGCTCTAGCTTTGAAACTTTTTTAAGTGTTTGGGTATATTCTACAGAGAGTTTCTATCTATCTGATGCCTCCTAGTATACTTGTGTATCTATATTATCTTACCTGTCTATCTGCTGACTATATAAGGGTGTCTTTACTTAACACGAACGGCACATCACCTTATAAACGGTACCTATAAGTGAGCCGGAAAATCCGCCCATTTCTAACAAATTCTATTAACCTCTACTCCGCCTCTTACGCATTTTCTAGCAATGTTAATGTATTTTACCACGTTGTCGCATGACCATTTGGATATTTCTAGGATAATTAGTCACGCAAAAGCATAAACTAAAACATAATTCGTTATTATAGTTTAAATACTATAGCTACAGAAAGTGTTGAATATTTATGTTATTAGAATAAAAACGTAAAATGAAACGCACATTGCATTGGCATATGTAATTATTAAAACAATATCTTGTAACTCAAGTTTGGCATAGGGTATTTCTATAAAGATTTCAAGTCTTTTGTCACGCAAGTTTAATGTATATTTCAGAACTTCAGGAAATAATTTATGAAAATGAGATCATTTGCCGCTTGAAAGTCTCCATACAACAATATTTTCGCACCATATATGATGGATATTTGAAAGTATTTTAAGTAAATATTACTTAAAGAAAAAGCAATTAGTTAAATCTGATGATGTATCTAACAATATCAGAAGCAAATGCATTTAACAGAAAGAATTTGCTCATTTATTAGACAGAGTCAGAAGTACGTTAATTTCTGAACAATGTCTGGTATCAAACAATTTCAGACACAGGGGAATTTACCCCAATAGATTTCCTCATTTATTAAACACTATCAGAAAATGTGTACGGTTTTCTCTATAGATAATATCATGTATTAAGGAGCATATTAGCAAATACATTTACCTGATGACGTGTGGTCGTTTATTCAACAATTTCAGATCTTACAGTTGTCAATCTTGTATATTAAATAAGCTCAGAACTAATTAATGTTAACTACTTAAACAATAATTAATTGAAAGCGTATTTTAAAAAAAACATCAAACATACACGTTGACACACATACACATCAAAATACCTAATTACATCTTACTTCAATGCAGTAAACAGGCTGAGATATATTGACTTCTCAAGTACAAATTAGCACAATCTTTATTGTAGAAAAATTAATTTTATTGTAAATCTTGAATGGGACTGTCCCTGTATGTGTTTTTGTTTATATAGACATGAAATAGGTATTGTAAAGAGCATAATCTTTCAAAGTTGGTATTACATATCTTACTCAAAACATATACACGATCTCGATGCAAGAGCTTTTTTCATTATCATAGATACTTTCTTCTTTCTAATATTCTAAATGTTTTATGAGCTGCACTGTTATAAAGCAAATGAGTTTCAATACTACTTGCTTGTTATTCGAAAAGCCTGTTTGATTTACAGTAGTGACAAAGCTGTTAAAAACGAGGGTTCAGTGAAATTGCTCATCAATGGCAAGTTTGAGTTTACAATATAAAATGAAGCAACCTTAGATGCTAATGACCTTAAATGAGGCCATGTTTTTTCTTAAATTATATATCTTATGCAAACACTTCATATCGTTAAACCTACGTGCTTACGTGACGTGTTTTTGATTGTCAAAATAGGAGTTTTACGTGGTTACTCCACGGTGACGAACCTATAGGTTTAAATAAAGATTGATGATTGATTTTTCTATCTCTAAACCTGTAGTCTCACGTTAGATCATTACACACAATAAATGCACAGGTTGTGAAACTTTTTTATATAAGAAACCCTTCAGTTTGTAGTAAAACAAGTCCACATCAATTAATTCCAATTGATGCGTAAACGTACCTCTAAATCGAAAGTTACAATTAAGTCATTTTGCGTCAACAAACCTAAAGGCGTAAGTAAAGATAATCTACATTTTCAAACCTACAGTTTCAAGTGAGACCATCTCATATCTACAAACCTATAGGTTCAACTAAAGATTATGTATAGACTTACAGTTTTTTAGATCATTCCTCATTGAGAAACCTACAAGTTAAGTCGCTTTTTCTTATTCTAAAAACCTACAGTTTCCAGTCGAATGATTCCACCTTGACGAGCTTGTATGTTGAGATGAAATTTTCTTTATATCTATTAATCAACAGTTTAAAATAAAGCATCTTACACCGTCAAACCTATAGGTTCAAGTGACATTTCTTTCGATATTCAGACTTACACCTTCAAATAAAACGAATCTTCGTCGTCAAATTTTTGGGTTTCATTAAAGCCACAATTTCATTATTAAACCTACAAGTTCAAGTTAAGGTATTCGACAAAGTAAAACTTGTAGATTCATCTTCTATTCCACATCGACAAATCTACAAGTTCGAAACAAACTTCTTTACATTGCTTAACCTAAAGTGTGAAATGAAGCTACTATAGTCTTTAGAACCTACTTTATATCCACATTTCAGGAGCTTTAAACTCTCGAGTGAAATTTACGGACTATTTGGTAATCAAAGATTTACAAACTATGTATTAAATGTTTATTTAAAAGATAATTTAATAGCTATATCCTATTAAGTGTTTCAAACAGTTCAACATGTGTAACTCTAAGGCATATTTACAAAAAAAGCACACAAGCTTCTCATTTTCTAAAAGTTATTATTAAGTATACGATTTTCTCTAAATGTTAAAATTAGCTTCATTTCCTAACACCAGGTGGTTTCAAACACGTGCTGAGCTGGAGTCAGCAGTCGCCCCCTGCTAAGATTTATGTGGCGACTTCAGTAAACAGGTACTATTTATAACCAGTAAGAAAATTAATCACCCAACTTTCATTAGTATTAAGGCATCAATTCCCCTATCTTCACCCCATTCTTTCAGTTTAATAACATAAAGTCTGTACAATGGGACATCTACACCTGATATTATGTGCCTGTTCTTCCAAGTCTTGTAATCATCTTCCTATACTAACTTATATATAATCCAGATGGTCTCATTAGCTAAGGTCCCTTTCCCTGCATTGTTCAATAAGACATGACATATGTTTGTACATGTCTGCGCTGTGCAGCAGAATCCATATATTCACGCACAGATGCATTTGCCTTGGTTAAGCATGTAATGTATCCCAGGATAAATTTCATAAAATATAGTCTTATGTTGTATTACTACTAAATATCTTGAGCAGAATAACATGTTTTCACATAAGTTTTTTGAGGCTTCTCCTACATTAAACTGCTTTAACTGTACGTTGCTGTTTAGCCATGATAAGCTAAAGCAAGCACAAAAAAACAAAACAAAAACTGGATCGAATATGTTTTAACTTATACAAGCATATCAAAGCACTGATTCTCGGAGAAGCCCCAAAATTTAAACCACATAAGTTTTAAATACGGGATGATGTAAAGTATGTACTACTTGTACGTGTATCAACATGAATAAATTATATAACTGAAATCAGTAATATATTAGTATGACGTCACAAAACTAAGGCTTCTACCGTGAAATCAAAAACAACCAGTTTTAATGTCTTTGAAATTATGTAGCAATAACCGCAACATTATAATAAAATTAACAAAAAAAATAATGTTTCACACACGGAATAACCACTGCTGTCGTAATGAAGGGGTTAACACGATATTTTATGAAGCCGTTGTTTCTCTACGATTAACTTAATTTATGTACTTTCCTTTGTGACTGTAATAAATTTTAGTCACAGATTGGAAGATATACTGACTATCCAAAATATTTGTTAACCTTTTTCATAAGTTACTCAGTACAATGGGCTGCTTAAAGTACTGTGAAGTAGCTCGTGCAAAAGCTTCTCACCACGGTACACACAGCATTTTTAAAGGAACCTTCCGGATTGTTTCCTGATCATATTACATTAATATGTATGAAAGGAAACAATTTGCTTTAAATGGATTTGTATTTTCTTACATCCTGTTTGACGCTGCACTCATAATGTATTCTTGAAAATGGAAATTGTAACAATAATCGTTATTCAAGCAAGTGCACGAGAGAAACTTTAGAAATTAATGCGTAGGTTGTCCTGATGAAATATTGACACTAAACTGAGACTAAGTATCTGATCTAATAACTTGAAAAAGTATAAATTAGAGACAAACATATATTTCTGCTATTCAAATTTTGTCGGGTGATGAGGAAACAAACATTATATTAACAATGTGAGATCGCACGGTACTTGATCATTTTTGAGGATATTTAATACAATATTCTAGTCTTAAAGATAATGTACCAAAAATGTTCTTCATAATGTTTTTCTTAGTTTTAATGTATTCTATTCTTTATTCTTCATAAGCTTGACTAATTAAAATAAATTTTGAATTGAAGTGTTTCAATTTATATAAATGTCAACTGAATAATGTTTTGAAAAGGAAGTTTTTACTCAAGAGGAGTATTACAAAACTCAAACTAATCTTGTAATTGAAAATGGAAATCTT